CCAAAGGTGCCAAAGTATAAATCAAAACCCGCCAGTACTTTTGAAAAAGGAAACAGATCAACAAGACAGAGTGTAAGAGAAACAAAGAAAAGATACACTGTAAAATGTTTAAAACTTGATATTTCAATAACTTGAACTAACCTTAACATTTTCCAGGAATTAGTCATCAATGAAATTACTGAATACTCAATAAAATGCACATTCATTTCTTATTTTATATCTTTTTAAACCATAAAAGTAATGCTTTTTTAAGAACTCAAATAATACAGAAATAGAGTGATGTTGGCCCGCACACACAATCCTCTCTCCGACCCCTTTCCCCCTTGCCTCCCCAAATGTCCATCCAGGTCCTCAGTGTTTAACAATTCCATAAGATGCATTTAAAGATTTAAATACAGCTTCTTTTGGATTACATTCTAGCCACATCTTACATTACGGCCAGAAAATCAAATCAATTACCCTTTCAATGGGTACTGCATTAACTTCAGAAACCACTATCATTACACAAACCACAATTGTGTTTTCTGGGATTAGCAGTCTGCAGTTTTATAGCCATTAATTTCATCTGCAATGAAGGCAGATTCTGATTCTTAGGAGAATCTATATAATTAGTATTAAAATTTAAATTTAAAACCTAAACAAGAAAAATTCTACCAGACACTTAAAACACTGAAAATTAGCTGATTTATTTACTAAAGTTAAAAAAAGAGCAAATATCCTCACAAAACCCTCCTGTAATCATGTGTGTTCCTTGCCTGCTACATGTTACCAGCATTTGTAGACAAAAAGCTACATAGCTAAACCGATACAGCACAACAGGCCTCTTCTTGAGGGGATCTTGAAGATACTAGAAAAATGAAGCCATTCTGAGATTAAAGGCCATTTGTCATCTCATCTAAGGGAAACTGCCAGCTCACTCTGAGATGTCTTCAAAATGTCTGCCAACAAGAACTTCTCCCATCTTTCCTTTCTCTAACGTATCACAATTTAATTTCATAAAATAGAAACCAAAGGCAATCCTGCAAACCCTTTTCTGAGATGAGCATTTGATCACTAGTGATACAAATATGCTGTCAACTCTGTGACGTTTTAATCTTCAAGGAAAACTCTGGTGGGCAGCAACTGCTTGATTTCCCCCAGCTTTTTATTCACAGGAGGTGAACTGTACGTCACGGGTGCTTTC